GCCCCCCAAGCACTGGCTCCTTCCTGCCCCTGTAGGAAGCAGCACAGGGCGGGGCAGGTGGGTCCGCAGAGTCGCCATGCGAGCGGAGCCTGCTAGAAAGCCAGCTCCCTGCATGTAGCAGCTCCAGCCTGCCCCCTCATCCTCCGTGCTGCTGCCTCAGAGGCAGAAGTGCAGGGAAAGGGGGTAGGTGGATCTGGTGCTTGGGGGGATCTGGTGCTAGCCGGCTCCCCCCACTTGCTGCCTCTAACACAGCAGCAGCAAAGGGGTGTGTGTGGGATATGCGTGTAGTCGAGAAGATTACCCTAGTTGACATCCCTCGTCCGAATGGATCAGCTGGTTTAGAAAAAAGATGGACAAGAGGCCCCCGACTTGCGACGCGATCTGTTCCTGGGGAAGCGTCGCAAGCCGGGGGCGTCGTAAGTCGAGCTCTCGTTTACGATAAGCGCCATGCACCATCGTAAATGCGGGCCGAGGACGTAAGTGGGGGGTTTCTGGCCCCTTCTGCACTTACAGAAATGGTTGTAAGCGTGGGGGGGTTGGAACTCAGGGGCCTCCTGCATTTGCCCACTGCATTGCATCCCCTCTCCCACGGCAGCAGTCTTTGGTCCCGCTGCAAAGCCCGTCGTGTTTTCCTGGACGGCTGCAGCAGGGTTAGTCCTCTGGTCTCGGAGAAAGGCAACTGGCTCAACGGGTTTTTTATCGTGTGGTAACCGTGCCCGGAACCTTGGATTCGATTATTTCGACCAGGGCGATTGGCGTTCCCCGAACAGAAGAGCCGGGGCTGGTGCGCAGCCTTCTTGGAAGCCTGGCACCACGGGACTCACATGTTACTGCTTTGTGGCTCACGCCGGTCTCGGGGCTTTTGGCAGTTTCTAAACCCAGGCCAGAATTTCAGTGGGGGAAGAACAGAAAGGAACAGGGCCCGATTTGGTAGTGGGAAGGGTGCACCATGGATCTCTTCAGGGCCAGACTTATCCTAGCAGAGCGCAAACTTAGCAGAGAGAACAGCCACTGATCCCCAATACCCAGATTCCACAGAACACACAAAGGAGGAAATTGCTTCGTTAGCGCTCTCCCACCTCTGAGTGCTCATGCACACCCCCGCTGGCCAGGTGACCCAGAGAGGGACATGTGGGACGAAAGACACGTGTCAGTGGGCTGTGAACTTGGGTAAGCAAATGCTTAGCAGAGACTGGTCCAGCTAGTCAACTAGTCATTCCCTTCCCCTTGCTGCCTCTATTAGAAAGAGGAAACGGGGGCGGGGGAGAGGGAAAGGGGTGCTTCAAAGCAGCAGCACTGCATGGAGCCTGGGCCCAGACCCTGGGCTCCACCCAGCACTGCTGCTTTGAAACGCCACATGCAGCTTAGCTGGGAGTCCCCAGCTGGCCCCAGGCTGCACGTGGTGTTTCAACGCAGCAGCGCCGCCTGGAGCCCGGGATCAGCTGGAGACGCCCCTGCTGACCCCAGGCTCCACGCAGCACTGCCGCTTTGAAACGCTGCAGGGAGCACGGGGCCAGCTTGAGTCCCACACTGGCCCCGTGGCCCCCACTGTGCTTTCACCTTTGAAGTGTAGCAACAGTGGGGTTGTTGCTACACTTCAAAGGCAGAGGCCCCCTTATCGACTAATCGAATAGTTGATGCAAATTGCATCGACTATTCGATTAGCCAATTCATGGACATTTTACATCCTTTGCAGACACGAGGGCTGCTCCTCATCGCCGATAGCGAACTAAGCACAATATGTAAGGGGAGAGGAAATAAAGTGCAGGTCCAGGTGCCTGTCTGAGAACCTCAACCGGCCACCTGGCCCAGAGGGAGGCCACGGGGAGGCGATGTTGCAGCTGGCCCCACCCATCCGCAAGAGACCCCCGCTGTGAGGGCATACGCACCTTCTTCATCCATGGCAAGCACAGTGGCACCTCTGCTGAGCAAGGCCTGGACAACGGAGGCCAGTCCGTTCCGAGCTGCAATGTGGAGCGGCCTGCGGGCAGCAGGAAAGGGGATGTGTTACTGAACCCCGCCCAGAGCAGCGTCCCCGACACTCTTCCAACGCACTGAGCCTGCACGCAGCTGCCTTGGCAGTGGCACCCCGCTTCCCCTCCACCGGGTGCGCCCCGGGAGAGCCAGGGAGGAGGCTGAACTCATGCTGGACTGGAGCCACGCACAGGCTGCTGCGACGGACGCTAGGACCTAGGGAAGGCTAAGCCAGTTGCGGCCTAATTCAGGGGTGAGGCACCTAAGGCTGGATGCGGCCCCTGGCTTGCCTGGGTCTGGCCCCTGAGGTTCAGGAGTCCCCCCCCACCATTGGGGAGCCCGCACTGGCGCTCCAGTCCCTTCACCAACCCCTGCAGGGCTGGAGGGGACACAATCCACTTTTCCAGGCCCCCCCAGGCTTCGGTGTGCGAGGGAAACGTGGGGAGTCTTTCTCCTCCTCAGTTGGGGGAGGGGAGGGAAGAGATTTGCTTCTCACTTGTGTGTGGCCCCCCTGCCCGACTGATTTTCTGTGCATCAGTAGCCCCCGACTCAGAAAAGGTCCCCCCAGCAGCCTAATCTCTCCCTCACACTACCAGGAAGTGAGAAGTAATTGCAAAGGAGCGTGAGCCGGACAGATTAACAAGACTTTGGGTATTTTCCCATTGCGCAGAGCTCCCCAGGGTGGGAGATTGTCACAGGCTCCTTCGGGGGGGTGGGGAGGACACATCCGTATCTGAAAGGGCTCTCTGTTGGCTGTACTGAATGAACGTGTGATTCTTCTGCCTCCTGGGCTCCCCCCTACAATCTTCCCTTTTCCCTTCCTCCTCCCAACATTCACAACCACCCGGGGCAAAAAATCAAACCAAAAGAACCTCTCCCCGTCCCCTCCCCCATTTATCCCAGCTGTTCCCACACTCACATCTGCAGAGCACTGTTAGTTGCATTGATAAGGCCAAGGTCTTGGGTTTCCCCCAGGATCAACAAGGCACACTTTTCATGACCCTGGAAACAAACCCAAATCAGTTAAACCTGAGGAGCGAAGGGCAGGGAGGGGGAAAGCCAGGTGTCTCCGCAGGTGGCGTTCTCCCACGACCCCATGCAATGCGGAGGAGAGATTCTGTTTCAATACATGACCACTCGTGTGCGTGGGGGAAATGCCAAGTTCTAGTTTAGGACTCTATTCTCTACTCCCTTCACCTACTCAATTTCTCCCGTCGGGCGAAGGGCCAAGATCCTATAATATGTATGTAAGATTCTGACCACAGTCTTTGTTACGAATCTCTCACATATGCCCAAACTGGACGGCCTGGTCTGAGGCCTGAGACCTAACATTGGGCAATACATAGCTAAGGAAAAGTTGAGATAAGCAGGAAACAACTTTGTTTGTTTAACCGGGCATAAAACAAGCTGAGGCAGCACAACCCCAGGTGGGGAGCAGTAATTGGGGCTTATCGTGAGTTATAGACACTAAGAGGGGCCTCAAAGTCTGCTTATGAGGGCAGGGGACTGGACTCGATGACTCTCGAGGTCCCTTCCAGTCCTAGTATTCTATGATTCCCAGCTCAGGAAGAGATAACAGTGTGTCATCCCTGAATACCAACCGGAGTTCAGGCTGAGGGCTAACATGACAGCCTGAGTAACAGTCCTCTCCCCTCACAGATGCCAATCTGAGCTCAAAGGGGCGCACTGATAAACTACACACAGTTGCCTTTGCTGTGTACTGTTTACTATTCTCTTTGCTTTGAGACCCTTTAGGAATGTACCTGCGGAGAAACCTGTCTGGGAAGTGCCACCTGTCATTTCTACGGACCTGAAATCAGGACTTAACTTACACCTTGCAAGAGAAAAAACCTGAGAAATAACACCTGTTTATTAACGAACACATGAACCTGAGCTATGGGCAGAGCACGTTGAAATCTTTTAGACTATTGGCTTATGTCTTGTTGCTAGAACCTGTCCACAGGCTTGGGAACTCCCACCCTGTTGCTTCTCTCTGCCCATCGGCACCCTATATAATCTATTGTAATCAATTGTTTGGCAGGCTCACTGAGCCTAATAAGCGAAGTGACACTCCACCAGCTGTGTCTAATAAAAGGCCTCATGCTTGAACGTACATGGTGTCAGACTTCCGTTCCTTCACTGGGGTCTGAAAATAACCACCCCCTTCGGTGGGTTGTTTGAGGTCGAGGGGCTGATCTGGAACCTCCTGGCCCTGCAAGGGACCACATCCAGCTGATGCGGATGGAACTCTCTAGCACTCCCTTTGTTCGTGCGCCAGCATCACCCTGGTGGGAAGGGCCCAAAGCCCAGCGAGGCGGGGGGTGCAACCAAATAATAAAGAACATCTGGGGTCCTATCCCCCTTTTCGCTGACTCCACGCACCTCCCTCCTTCTGCGTTGGCCGGTGCAATCCCTGTTTTAAAGCTAAGGAGCTCAGGTGCGTTCCGTCTTGCAGTTCGGCTTCCCTAGATTCTGGCTCTTCCCTGCAGGTCAAGGCAGACTTCGGCCTTGTCCACTTTGGCCCTACTATGCATGGAAAGGCCTGATTTTAAGCTGCTTGAGTTAAAGCGTTGCAACTAAAGACTGGACAAATGGTTATTTCGGTTTAAGCCAGGGTTAGGGCTTGTCTACACATGACATTTCTTCTAGAATAAAGTAGGGTGTGAATTTAAAGCAGATGAGCCTTTCCTGATAAACCCGATGTGAGGATGCTCTTATTCTGAATTTTCCAAATTCGCTTAATCCACTTTCAATTTGGATTACACCTAATTTGGAATAAGGTGTACGTACTCATTCCAGAATCAGTGCGTCCACATGGAGTTACTCAGGAATAACTCCTCCTGCAGACAAATCCTTATTTCCAATTAGGTTTGCTTGATTAAAAAGAGAGTTAAACCCAACCAAAATAAGCCGCTCTGACACTCACACCAGGGTGTCCACACTGGGTGTGTCTACATAGCACCCTAAACTCAAAATAAGGCATGCAAATTGCGTAGCTTATTTCGATTGTATTTCAAAATAGCTCATTTCGAAATTTCGTGCGTCTACATAGTGCCAAACTTTGAAATAACGCGCTATTTTGACATATCCCTTAACCCTCCTGGAACGAGGATTAAAGGGATGCTGAAATAGCGCGATCGTTATTTTGAAACGTATTTCGAAAAGTATTTCAAAATAACGGGTGCATTTAAAAGACGCGGGGTAGCTATTTCGGGATACCAAATAGCCTCACTGTCCTGACGTACCCTGGGTGTCCACTGGTTTAACTCAATCCGTGCAAGGGCGTGTGTAGAAAAAGCCTCAGGTTTTGATCTCACCTCGCCTGCAGGGCACTGAGAAGCACGCCTGGGCGTTTTGAGGCTCAGACTGAGGACCATGGTAAACATGACTGTTGAAGAGACGGGCCGGATGCTTACCTTGCTGCAGGCCAGGTGAAGAGCTGTGTTCTTGTTGACGTCTAGCACAGTTAAATCAGCTTTCGCTCGATACAGCAGGAACTCTGCAACCAAGAGGGACAAATGCGTCAGGAGCGTGCAGCCCGGACTCTCTTAGCCAGGGACACGTCAGCAGCGCAGAGGCATGCGACCCAGCTGGGTGCACCTGGACACTCAGAACGCTGCAGGTTTCCGGTTACCACACCCCGGCCTGAGACAGGGCAGCTGCCAGCCCCGAGCCTCCCACCCTACGGCCCCGCCTGGGAAGGAAACGTTGGGAGGGGTGGAAAGGCTCAATAGCGGCGGATCCAAGGGAGGAGCCGGACGCGGGGCCAAGAAGGAAGTGCCGGGTTGCTACGCACCGACCGCTGCCGTCTGCCCGTTCTCGGCCGCCATCATGAGAGGGGTCCTTCCCAACTGGTCGGTCGCGTCTACTTCTGCGTGGTGGCGTAGCAGCAGCTGTAAACCGTGGATGTTGTCTGCAAAGGCAGCAGCGTGAAGGGGAGTCCTGGGAGGAGAGGGGAGGGCGTGAGGAGAGACGCCACCTGGGGCTCCGGGGGCGGCCCCAGTCAGATACTTACGGTGATGTGCAACACCGACACCTTTCATTCCCAAGCACCCAGATGTCACAAACCTAGATCAGCCTCTAAGCCCTAACACGGCTTGGTGATCAATTGCTCGCCGGGTCCTCCCCACGCCGGACAAGGAAGGTTTCTCTTAAATTGCAAAGGAACCTCTTGTAGACTTGATGGTGCAGCTATGGCCAGGGGTGGGGAAAGGCAGGAGGGGAGGGGGAGCAAACAGCAGATGTTTATTGGGCATGCACGAGCTCTCTCTGATCATTTAGGACAGGAAGTAGAAACAAACGGCGAGCCACCTGACATCATTTAGGACAGGAAGTAGAAACAAATGCCGTATGCAGCTGAGATCATGGGGAACTGGACGAAGTTACCCAAGACTGAATTCGGGGTGACCGAATCCCAGGGGACCTCCCTTTGATCACCTAAAGCTGCCAGGACTTTGCTTTCATATCGGCTCCAACCCCCAGCAAGGGCTGCAGCACAGCTCCCCAGGCCGCATCGGGCTCAGGAGTAGCTAGGAAGGCCGAGCGTCGTCACCACTTTGGGTATGTCTAAACCACGTTCTAGTTTCGAAAGAGGATATGCAAATTCCCCGGGAATTTGCAAATCTTCTGATATTGCTTTCGAAAGCAAAAGTAGTCTGGACGCGTTTTTTTGGGCGGGGGTGGGGGGGAGCCTTTTTTGCGGAAAAAAAACCCAACCTGCATAAGCCTCGTTTTTTAAGGAAGAACATTTTTTTTTCCGAAAAAAGATTCCCCCCCCGGAAAAAAATGCATCCAGACTACTTTTGCTTTCAATTCCTGTGGAATTTGCATATCCTCTGTCGAAAACAGAGCATAGTCTAGACAGAGGCTTTGCGGGTGCCCCTGGGAGGTTTCCCAGGATGCATCTAGTTCGGCAAGAGAGAGCCAATGGGATCGGAGCACAAAAGCAATAGAACGGGCGCCTCTGTTGCCCTCTGGCACCCCTAGTCTCCACTGAATGTTGTGGAGCGGTGAGAGTAAGAGATCCCACTCACCTTCCTTTGGCATCTCTGCTATTCACAATCTTGGCACCCAATGCTTCCACCAGCATTTCCGCAGTGCCTTCCTGGCTGTTAATTCTGCAGGGGCGACAAGGAGGAAAATTACAACCACTGCTGGACCGAGCTGTCAACACGCCAGGCAATGGCTCCAGTCAGCCCTCGGCTGCCCCGGGCCAACAAGCCACATGCAGAGGGAGGAAGGACACACGCTGTTGTGCAGTACACCTGCTCCCGCCCCCGCTGGCCAACTCATCCAGCTGGCTATGAAACGAATAGGCTAGAAATACAGGAGAGGGATGAGACCCTGTGGACCCCCCGCTCTGTCACCCAAATGCTCCTGGAAGAACAGTTGGGCCACACTAGCCTAACTGAATCTCTGAGCTCGCCTCCTGCTTTGCACAAGGATTGGACTTGAAGATCTCCTGGGGTCTCCTCCAACCCGGATTCTATGATGGTAGGACGGTGGCTCCAACACGCCCTCTAGTGGCTGACACTGAGCACAAAGCCCCAGAAGGGACCCATCTGGGTAGTGGATTCTGAAGCCAGCGCAGAACGGAGGGTGTGGTAGAACTGTCCCTCTCTGCACCCCTGGAGAACAAGGAGCGGGGCCATCCTTTCACCCCAAGAGCACGCTCCGTCCCTGCCCTGCCGTGCTCGTTCACACACCCTCCCAAACCAGGATGCAGGAGCCGCCAGATCCGCAGCCACTTACACTGCACAGTGCAATGGAGTAAAGGGGTTTCCTTCTAGGTACACAAACGGATTGTGTTCAAGTAACAATTCAAGACAATCTTCATGTCCTGCGAAGAGGGAAAAGGACAGTGAGCAGGTCGGGAACTGGGCAATCGCCTGTGGGAGACTGGCTCCGGACAGGAGGAAACTAGACTGGAACAAACTCCCCACTAGCCCTTTGCTCCTTCCAAGGCCCAAGGAAGCCAGGGGGTGCGAGCAGGAAGATGATCCTTGCAGTCTCACGGGGTGCAATAAAGTCGGTCGGGTGCATGATTTAAAGGGGGAGGAAGGAGTGAGCACTGAGAAGTCATGGCAAGATACCAGACTGGACACCAGCAGCCTAGGGCAATGGGACAAGGAGATGGCACCAGATCCGCCGGCACGGCAAACCCTTGGTTTCTCCTCTCTGACAGAGAGAGAGCAGGCCTGTTTCTTGTTTAGCGGTAAAACCCTGCTCCGGATGTGTGTCTGCCTAGGCCTTCACTTACAAGTTATGTCCACCTGTACAGTGGGGCCCGGTCGGTTTAGAGCGCCTGGCGTCCTTCACCAACCTCGCTGCCCCACCAGTGACAGAATCCCTCCCCCGAGCGTAGGCAGGGTCACTTTAATACTGCCCCCATCTTGGGCCTCTTAGCTGAGTTTGCCACCGTGCCACGGCCAGAGGGGTCCACACGGGGGTGGGCTGGCGGTTGCGGACACTCTGCTGCCAATTTCCAAGCTTTCAGC